CCACACAAAATTGATCCCTTTGACTCCTTTAAAATGTGAGAAAATAATTGTTGAAACTGTTGTAAGTTCTTGGGCCTAGAGTTAATGGATTAGCTTTCTTACCTGTATCCAATCCTGAGTCGTCTTTGAAATGCAGACTTTTTCTTTTCACCACTTATCAAAATACTCTTGCAGAAAAAAAATTACAAAAAAGCAAAACTACTTCAGAGGAAAAAAAATCGTAAGTATTCGTATGGAAGGTTGTATTTCCCTTCCGAAACCTTGATATAAAAGGTGAGAGATTGAGTGTGTTTAAAAATAAAACCTGAACGTAAGGCAGAGAAGGGGTATATAAACCTTATTTATATAAAGGCAACGGTACAAAATTTGCTTTGTCAAGATACATGTAGCAATCAAACAATTATATTATATACTAGTTTTTAATTTTATTTGCAATTTCATTGTAGTTGTCTTATCAAAAGTTTATGATCAGAAAGATAATAACCTCAATGTGATGGTTCAGGTTTTTGTCTTCCATTAAGGGAAATGTAAACTATGGAAATGAATAAGAGGCAAAATCTTCCAAAGTAAACATATCCTTGTTATTCAGAAACTAAACAGCAGTGCATGAAGAGAGGAACAAGGAAAATATATACTCAGTACGTCTTAGAATGTTCTTATTTAGGTTTTTACAATTGTTAAAAACCTGGATCACTGAATGTTAACGTTTCCTAAAACGTTAAGGGGTGATATTGACGAATAGAATCCTCTATGATAAACTTGATTAACTTTTCAATAGTCAACTTCTCTTACTTATGCAGCACTTAACCTTCATCACCTGCATACGGGATTTATATCTCTCCGTTGTTTCGATACGCAGTTTAAGAGCATGCTCAACGTATGAACAACTTCTTAAACAAGGTAAATTACTGACAAACAAGATGATGAAACAAGAATATAAGCAGTCTCGTTTAAAGTCATCATTTCGTAATTTCTATGGGCGATACAATAACCCTGTCAGCAAATGCAATTTATCATTGAGTAAAATGCTGACTGACGGGTTTAATTTCATACTTATTGTTAGTCCATAATTTACACACTGAATTGACGATTTCCCGATCATGACAAGGAACACACGGCAGATGTGATCGGTCCACAGGGGATGCCCACTCCTCCATGGCACTTGATCCATGCACCTCTGATGTTTTGGTGTTCTCCTTTGGCTCTGCTACTATTTTGTAATGTTTAATGGACTTTTGAGTTTGAATACTGTTCTTTATCTCCATATAATTCATACAACACTGTGATTTCTAGAGAGAAAGGGATGGTTTAGTTCGCAGATCTTTAGTGGAATATGCTACGAAAAAAATAGCTTAGAATAGTTTGTTGAACATTTCTTCGTTTTAAACCTGGAGATAGATTTCGAAAACATTAAAATAACTATTTGATCTGAGCAATGAAGCTAATTCAGATATAATATAAATGCATTATTTAAAAAAAGAGGGAGAGAGAAATTGTGAATAAACATTTAAATATATCGAACTTTGATTGAAAAGTTTTTCAATAAATTGAATGTCATCTAATTACTTTATTAAAAAGAAGGCAAATCAGCTCACTTTCAATATAACTTTGTTCTCATTAACGGTAAATTTAAAAGTACTTTAGGGGAAACATTTGTTGATTGTTGATTTTCCGTCAAATTTGTGGCAGAAGAAGAGCAGAAGATTTGTTGAGTTCATATTTACCGTTTCCATTTAGATCTACAGTTACTTTAGGACTTACCCGAGGCCTTCTTAACATAAGCTAAATGTTAGACTAATTCTCTGAATGATTTCAACTTTTTATAGGAACTGTGACACGTAGAACTCAGAATTTCTCAAAACTCCCCATGATGAAAGTATTTGACACCATAAACACAAATTAAGCAAAAGTTGGTTGTTATGTGTCATGGTTACCATGGCAACACGTCATAAAGTTTGAGAAATGGCTTTTTTGAACATGTTTAGAGTCCCGTGATTAACGTTTGCAGCTATGCAGACAAGTGACAATGATTTTTTTCTCTTAAAAGCCAGACTTTATCTGCGAAATCACTAGTCTTGTTTATGCGTTACTTTAAAAACAAACTATTCAAAGATATTGATTTTATTTATTAATTTTCATGTAATAATTTTTTAATTAGTAAATTGAAAAGCTACCAGGTAAGGCATCCATTAAGTGAATGTTGGCTTGATCTCTCCCGAATCAGGCTAAAAATATTGGGTCGGTAGAAAGGTGACAAGTTACTTTTTCACAAAAAAAATTTCAACATAACTGTTGACGGAATGAACAAATTTAAGAATAAAAAGTACCATGAAGGTTAAATAAAATAAGTCAAGCCATTATTAGAAAGTCGGTCAGGAGAGGGAAAACAATTTTCTTAAGAAAGTCTAATATAGTTAAAAAATTCATTGTTAAACAAAGAATGATAATTCTTACTGGTTGCCATGATTACTATGTTTTAAACAGAAGGAAGGGATATTATTTTTCTTTACTAGTTTTACAAACACTATATAAAACTACGTTCACTTCTGAGAGAATATGGTATGGTCCAAATCAACATATCCGACTCGTTTTAAGTTCACCTGAGCTGAAAGCTCAAGTGAGCTTTTCTGATCACCCGATGTCCGTCTGTACGTCTAGCTGTCCATCTGTCTGTCCGTCCGTCTGTAAGCTTTTGCCATTTTCAACTTCTTCTCAAGAACCAATAGGTCAATTTTAACCAAACTTGGTACAAACTTCAAAGCATCCTTATGTAAAGGGGAGTTTAAATTGTTAAAATAAAGAGCCAAGTCTCCTCACAAGGGGAGATAATCAAGAAAAAACAAAAATAGGGTGGGGTCATTAAAAAATCTTCTTCTCTAGAACCACTGGGCCAGAAAAGCTGAAATTTATATGGAAGCATCTTGGGGTAGTGTAGATTCTAAATTGTTCAAATCAAGACCCCCCGAGGTAGGGCGGGGCCACAATAGGAAATCCAAGTTTTACATATAAAGATATAGGAAAAATCTTTTAAAATCTTCTTCTCAAGAACCACTGGGCCATTGGAGCTGAAACTTATATGGAAGCATCCTTGGGTAGTGTAGATTCTAAAGTTTAAAAATCATGACCCCCAGGTGTAGGGCGGGGCCACAATAGAGAAGTTTTATATAGAAATATATAGGAAACATGTTTAAAAATCTTCTTCTCAAGAACCAGTGGGCCAGGAAAGCTGAAACTTATGTGGAAGCATTCTGAGGTAATGGAGATTTTAAATTGTAAAAATCATGTTTTACATAGAACTATTTAGGAAAAAAATCTTATTCTCAAGAACCACTGGGCCAAGAAAGCTGACACTTGTGTTGAAGCATCCTGGGGTAGTGAAGATTCTAATTTAAAGTATTTAAATCATGACAGGGCAAGGGGGTAGGGGGCCACGATAGGTATAACAAGAGGGGAAATCTGGTAAAGAAGTGCATAACCGAAGATACTAAGGTGAGCGATGTGGCCCCTGGGCCTCTTGTTTAAAATAGACCGTTGTTTTAATTGGTAATTATAGGGAACATTATGTACAAAAGATGAAAAATATTTTGTTTCCTTGAATACATATCCTCATAATTATGTAGCTTCTCATTTTTTTAAAAATAGGACTCTTATTTACGAAGAACAAATCTGAATCAATTTTGTCTACCACAATCTCAGACTGGATGCAAGAAGGTACCAGATAAGGCTATATTTCTATGAAAATTGAACTTTTTTGGTAACCATAACAACAGTGTTAATTTCTTCATCAAACTTTATTAATGCATGTTATCAAATTTAAGGTCTTTCAGATAAATAGGGTTTCAGGAGAGTCGAAAATATGTTTCTTGATCAAAAGGTAATTAATTTCCTAAAGCAGCCAAAATTCATCTCTTTAATTACTGGAAAGTTGTTTCCATGGTAATCATAGGAAATAGGAATAAATCCCGATTTTCTTACGCTATCTGTGTTATAATGTCCTATTTTTCTTTGGGTTTAATAGATTCAAAGCAGCTGAAAAACTAATTTTTTCAAACTTCTATGGCTGTTACAATAGCAACCACAGTAAATAAAATTGAAGTTATATATGTTTCTGGTATCACGTACATTGATAATGGGCAAAGTTTCATCAAAGTTGGTGATCAAGTGTGCCCAAAAATTGTGGTTACATGTTAATAAGTACATATTAAAATAGTTGTTTTTTAGCATACATTTAGTGACATCATTCTTCTACGTAAACAATCTTTTTCTCAATTGTGTGGGTGGGAGTGGGAGTGTTCCAACCGTTAAAGGAATAAAATATTTCCAATACCTGTGTTAGTTGTAGACTTTGGAGAAACACCATAATTTGCAGCATGTAATCAGTCTCCATTTCGTCATGGCTGAGGGAAAAATTTCTGTCGCGCAACCAAGGGTATGAGAAGATTGAACGCCCCCGCTTTTATATTATATATATAATTAATATAAAATATAATAATTACATCTTGAATATAGATTTTCAATAAATGCTTACTCTGGTTGTTTTTTTTTAAATTACTAGTATATATTTATATATTTATGTTTACATGTATACATGTACTGTGATGAACAAATTTGCAATTTTAGTACCCACGTGCACTAATATGTGTCATTAAATTACAAGGTTTTATTACCAGTCCTGTGAATTTAGTATCAGCATGAAAGGTTAATTATTAAGTTTCGGTCCGGATTTCTGTTATAACAGAAGATATAAGCAACCCCCCATGAACTTTTATTATTCGACAAATTTCATCAGATAAGAGCACTACGATTACTAAAATTCCCGACTTTCTTTATGTTGGAGAAAAAAGAGACACCCAAGTGACTTTCATTAAGATTGCCATTTATTGATTTAAATGTCGACAGATGATTATGTGAAGAACAACCAACAATAAAATAAACCTAACGCTGAATACGCGTACATGAAATATGTATGACGCGATCATCCATTAGCCGAAATTGAGAGAAACTGAACTGAAATGACTTCAAACAACATTAAATTCCCCGTGTACATAGCATGTAAACGTTATTGTGACCTCTTTCAAGTATATTGGATTTGGAAGATCATTGTCATATTTGTCGAATGGATTTTTATTTTATTTGTGTAAACGACTTCTATTTAAACAGCAATTTCTATCGAGTTACGAATTGCTAGATTGCGGACGTTAGGAGAATTACCCTGTTTGTAAAAACGCTTTCGTTTATTTTACACTTGATACTAAATATATCGAGCGTTCGGGCCCTGGCAGAGTGTCTCGCATTTCTATCTTACCGAGAGAAAGACTGCACAGGGTAAGTGTAGGTTTCTTCACTTGACATTGCAAATTGAAATGATTGTTGATTATCAATGATAGCATTTGTGTAACAATAATTTAAGGTATTTTTGGTAATTTTAGATTTAACCTTTAAATCATCACATGTATGGATGACGTTTACGATAATAATACAAATTAATGATAATTATAAATCTATAAATTGAATGTACTTGCCAAATCAGAAAGGACAAAATTATGAAAATGAGTAAATTATCCACGCTGTAGTATTTATAAAAGTTAAGATAAATGTACACAATTTATTAAATAGCAGCTAATACAATTTGAACATACTTGTATATATTTTTTGTTCAAAGACAAGGTAAAGCATTTAAAAACAAGACAACGCAGGGTGTATATTATTTCCGCGTAACTCACACCAGGAAGGTTTGCTCTTGTATATAGAATGTTCCTTCCTTTTAAAAACAACAAACAGAATTACTAAAAACAGACGGAGAGATATTGACAAAAAACAGAGTTTTGAATCATTTTACACTACACATGTTTTAATAAATCAATTCAGCAAATGTACGTTACATGATTAAGAACAGAAACATGGTTACATCTATAAACGCAACATATGGGGGTCAAATAGGTTTACGCTCAATTGTTCATACCTTGTAATGAAACGTATGAGCTTGTTCATGGATTGCAAAAGGTGTAATATGGTCCTAATCTGAGGCACATCGATTTACAGAGGCCGCCATCACAGCTGTTACTGTGTCCTAGGGAAAAAAACCGAAGAACAGTAGCAGGTAAGGGTTTTACACTGTTTTTAATCTGAAATTAAAGGAAATTAAAGCAAATATGTCATGGTCCGTGCAGATCGCCACAAGTCCGAGAGAGAATCGATTCTTCTTGGAATTTTTTTCCAGATATCATCTTAACTGACGACACAGTTGACAAGCAGAAACAGGCATCCAAAGATCTAGCCCAAGACCTTCAGCTGTGATCGAAGTCCTCTTCTATATGGTAAAATATTATTAACAGACATGGATTTCCATCACTTAAAAAATTCTTTTATTAAAAATTCAGTATAACAAGAGAAAGCAAAATTTGAAGACCGAGAGCCTCTGTTGGGTAGAGGTAACACCGATTTCACGTGCTTGTCAACCAATCAGCTGAAATACACGTATCCCTATAGTGATTGTTACTATGGTATAGTTTCTAAATTTATTTTTATACAAACAACCTTTTTTTGTTTGAAAGATAATCGTCCAGCGTGGTATTCTTACTTCTTACGCTGTAAATATTCTCGACCATGTAAGCTTTCATTTGAAATAAACCTGAAATAAATACATGTATCACCAAAAATATCTCACATTGACATGAGGATCTACCTATAAAATGTTATTAAAAAATCACCAGATTCGCCCCTACAGATTTCTTAATTGATAGAACGTTATGTTGTTCAAACGAACCTACAGGCCCAGTCAAACGATAGAGATAGAATGAAATATGATCGGATAACAAACAGTATTCAAGTTCAAAAGTCCATTCAAACTATAAACCATCAGAGGTGGAATCAGATGGAGTGAGAATCCTCTGCTGACCAGTCAAGAACTCGCTTCATTTGTTTGCAAAATAATTATATTTTACACATGTTCATCCTTTCAAAAGGGTTGCCGGTTATTTTGATAGACATGATGACTTTAACCTTTTCCTTAATTATGCAGCAATATATACCTTCATCACATGCATACGGGATTTACCCGGTATATCTCATAGCTGATTCAATATGCAAGAGCATGCTCTACGTATTGACATTTCTTTAACTAGGTAATTTATTGACAAACAAGTTGATGAAACAAGAATATCAGCAATCTCGTAAAGTCATCATTTCGTAAGTTCTATGTTCGATACAATGACCTTGTCAGCAAATACCGTCTATGAGGAAGTACAATGCTTTCTGACGTTTTTCATACTTATTGTAAGGTCATTATTTGCACTGAATTTTTGACGGATTTTCCCGTTATCTCCCGATCATAACAAGGAACACACGCCGGGGGATGTGACCGGTCGGCAGAGGATCTGATGTTTTTGAAGTCTCCGTTCTGCTCCAAAGTTGTTTTGTTTAATGAATTTTTTTGAGTTTGAATGCTCTTCGTTATCTCCATATATTCTATGCAATATCATTCATTTGCAACTTAAATTTATATTTATAATGAACTTTTGAGCTTGAATGATGCTTTTCGTTCTGTACATTGTAACTGAATAGGATGTATGCAGCCGCAGTCAGATATACATGTATAGTGTGTTCTAGAGGTTTACTGTTTAGGATTGTAGCACATGCATCTGAAGCATTGATACACCCCCAGGAACTATCAACATATAAAGAGTTTTTTTTTCTTGAAAAAAAAAATCCCAGTAAATCCAAACCGTACTTCATTCTGTGCAGTCGTTCGTACTTTTATTAAGAGTTACATGTAGGATTTGCACTTAAACTGTATATTAAAAATACTGTGCACAATAATTTTTAAACCCTTAATAGTTAAAACCGTTTGCACGAATGATATGCATACCTATATGGAATCGACGTGACGTCTTTAGGAACTATAGACTCGTTAAAATGTAGTAGTTGGAAGGGTGTTTCTACGCTTCAGGTGCCTGTGGTAATAACGTTAGGTATATTAATGATATTGGGTGATAAATCATGGACTCCACCATTCTATCTATAATATTAAAGTTACCCATCTCTGATCCACTCTTCCTCCTATACCAAATGAATTTAATGAGACCCATAGTATAATAATTATAGAATTCATTGTGCACCTCCTTTATTATTTTTTTTGTTGGGACATATGTTTGGGTTTTCCAAATACGTAATTCGCCATTATACTCGCACATGTTTGGCAGCAGGTGTATCATTTGTTGAACTCAACGTGAATAATACGTTGGTGTGGAAATTTGTAGCAATGGTCAAAAATTGACACGGTAGCGGTTCCCTATATTATGTTTATGTATATTTTCGATTGACTTTGCCTTTGTTTTAAAAATTGATATTTCAATGCCCCCGCTTGAAAACTAGGGGTTGTCCGTCCGTGTGTGTGTTCCTCTCTGACTTTAACCCTGTATTTTCCCATCCCTTGAATCAGCTCACCCCACTGTATAATAAGACTTACAGAGAGTTTTTATTACAGTAGTTGAGCGGTTCAGGACAGCTTGTAGGCAGCCTAAAATTGCATGTGCAATTGGACATGACCAAATATTTTAAAAAATCAAAATTACAATAGAGGACATAAATCTATTTTACTGTAGCCTTATGTAAAAACAAACTATCTTGAGCTGAGAAAGATCCCTTCGAATATATCTAATATCAGGGTATATTAATTTAAGTAAGGAAACAAACAGATGATGCATGCAACTATACCATTGATTTAACTGTATATTGACTGAGTGTCACAGCACGCCAGTCACTAGTAATATTGTAGCGAATATGGAATAATTGTAATTGTGTCACAAGCATTACTTCATGTATGGTACGAAAAAGAGAACTGTGAACTCACTAATTTTCGTTGTTTTCGATGTATGCAAGAGACCCATGAATTCATATCCACCACGAAATTTAAAATTTAGACACACAACTACTAAACTGTTAAATCATATCCCCAGGAATATTTTTTTTCTCAAGGAAATATGGAGATAACGAAAAAATTTCAAGATCAAAAATTCCATAAAACAATACAAAATAGAAGCAGAGCAAAAACATCAAAGGTGGGATCAGGTGTCATGGAGGAGTGGCCACACCCGCCGTGTGCTCCTTGTCATGATCGGGAAATAACAGAATAATCCGTCGTCAATTCAGTGTATAAATAATGGACTAACAATTAGTATGAAAAACGTCAGTCAGCATTTGACTCAATAAAAAAAATTGTATTTGCTGACAAGGTTATTGTATCGACCATAGAACTTACGAAATGATGATTTTACATGAGACTGTTGATATTCTTGTTTCATCAACTTGTTTGTCAATAATTTAACTCTTTTTAAAAATTGTTCATACGTAGATCACACTCTTGCATATCGAATCAACTGAGATACATATACTCAGGCGATGAAGGTATATTGCTGCATAAGTAAGGGACGTTGACGATAGAAAAGTTAAAGTCATCACGTTTATCATAGAGCTTGGTTGTTAGATTACCATAAAAGTCTCTTCCAACTAAAACATCCAAATATGAAACAGATGTGTCAGACTCAGTGGTATCTTTTATCTCAAGCTCAACAGGATATATCGTATGGACATAAGAATGGCAATTACAATTGTTAATTGACAATATGTCGTCGATATATTTAAATGTCGAGTGTAAGGCCATAGCAAGTGTTTTCTTCTTTTCACGCATAAGACTTTGCACGAATTCTGCTTCATATGATTACAAAAATAGGTCTGCTAATAACGGGGCGCAAATTGGTACCCATGGTAATTGGAATATATTGTTGGAGGACCTGGTCTCCAAAAACAACATAGATATTGTCAATCAGAAACTCAAGCATCTTTTTGACGTCGACTTCAGAGTACTTGTGTGTACAATCAGAATGTTTTTATACCCACCGCTTGAAAAGTGGGAGGGTATATAGTGATCGGGATTTCCGTCCGTCCGTCTGTATAGCTGTCCGTCCGTCTGTTAGGCGTTATCTCTTATCCGCAACTCCTCTTATACTACTGAGTGAAATTTAATGAAACTTTCACAGAATCTTTATTACATATTGCCATTGTGCACCTCCTATTTTACTTTTTTTATTCGACATGTATTTTAGGTTTCCCATAGCAAAACACGGACATTGCCATTATATTCTATATTTATATTCTATAACGTCACATATAGAAGCTTCTGGATAACATTTGATAGGAAGCTGTTCACATATAGCAACACATAGACATTATGGGAGGCGGGGGGTATCATTTAGTGAGCTCATTGCTCACAGTATCTCTAGTTTTTAAATAATTTTGCAAATGACCAACGACAAGATAAGTAAATTTACGAGTTCCATTTTTATTGAAAAAGCAGCTATCAATGATATCGAAAAGCCTGGACTTTAATTATTATACCCCCCGCTTGAAAAGCGGGAGGGTATATAGTGATCGGGATTTCCGTCCGTCTGTACGTCTGTCTGTCCGTCCGTCCGTCTGTCCGTCCGTCTGTCTGTCCGTCCGTCTGTTACGCTTTTTCTCTTATCCGCAACTCCTCTTAAACTACTGAGTGAAATTTAATGAAACTTTCACAGAATCTTTATTACATATTGCCATTGTGCACCTCCTATTTTACTTTTTTATTCGACACGTATTTTACGTTTCCCAGAGCAAAACATGGACATTGCCATTTTTTGTTTACCTATGACGTCACTTAATAGAAGCTTCTGGATAACATTTGATAGGACGAGTTATTCCTCTTTACACATTACCGTTAAACAATATAGAGCAACACATGGACATTATCGGAGGCGGGGGGTATCATTTAGTGAGCTCATTGCTCACAGTACCTCTAGTTTATCGTGGGGACCATGAAAATTGAACCCCAAGAAAATATCTGATTTTACAGTATGCTCTGTGTTGGCGTTACACGACACAGTTTTCAATGGGAATTAGGTTGAATCTTGTAAACCACACGCTTTTTGCTTCAGACTGATCAACTCTCCTGGTAACCACTCAGGAAAGTCATCCTAACATTTAACTAAGATTTTTATACCCCCGCTTGAAAAGCGGGAGGGTATATAGTAATCGTTAATTCCGTCCGTCTGTACGTCCGTCCGTCCGTCCGTCTGTTACGCTTTGGGGTACCCATCTCTTATCCGCAACTCCTCTCATACCACTGAAGGAAATTTAATGAAACTTTCTTTATTACATATTGCCATTGTGGACCTCCTATTTTACTTTTTGATCTGACATATATTTTGGATTTTCCAGAGCAAAACATGGACACTGCCATTTTATTCATATGGGAGGCGGGGGGTATCATTTAGTGAGCTCATTG